AAAAAAAAAAAAAAAAAAGAATCTATTTCATAAAAATAAAATCTCGATTTCGAAGAATGATGGAAATTCTACGATACCCATCGCGAAAAATCTGTGAAGTTGTTGGTGGTTGTTTTGATGAGGGAATGAAGTTGAATAAAATAGCATTCGAATCCTTGCCTTCCACTTCTTTTTAAGAGGGATGGCGTTTGGGATTTTGCAGCCAAGGTGTTCGACGGAATGCCTAGTCGAAACTGTAATGAATAGTTGAGAGTTAGTTAAGGAGTTTGAATCTGGGTTGTTCTTCCTGAGCTTCTAGAACACCCCAAGTTTGAGTCCAAGCTTCCACTTCCGGAAATGCTTAATAAATGAGATAGAGATCCACTGCTAAAAAAGATACTATTTGCTATTTTTCTATCTATTTATGCAATTATATTTAAAGAATATTGAAATGATAGTAGCGAGTTGTTTTAGAATTGAACATCAGAGGCCATGTGAGATCCTATATTGATTGAAGAGAGGAGCGAGTGCTAACGAGGATGTTGGGCTCCAAAGGGGGTGGATTGTGAGATCACACGTCTTTTCGAGAGAAAAACAATTCTTTATTCGTGTGGAAAACTCTTCCTAACAGACGCGTTTTAAAAACCTAGAGAGAAAGTCTAAAAAGGACAATCAACACTAGTGGTGGACTTGGACTGAGGGAGGTTTCGATCTAGGAAGAGATATATCTCAATAGAGTAAAATTATGGGTACTAAATTGAACAAAAGCAATGGAAAGAGGGAAAAGGTGGAATAATGAAAACTATAATTTTTTTCAACATTAATCACTAGTGTTTGTGGATTATTGATTAGATGATGGGTTTATTTTTTAGGATTCTAGGTCATTCTACCCTTTGAAAGATGGATATCTTTACGAATAAATGTCTAAAAACCACATGTTGGAGGACAATGTCGTACTTCGTAAGAGTAGAACATTTTATCTAAGGTTTCGACGTGTTTTCATTTTGTAGAATTCTATCATTCAAGCAGCCTGGACACGAAGATCTAGAGGAGAAACTTCAAAAAGACCAAACAGGAAATCATGGAAGCAAAGAACAGATATGTACATGAGGCCATTTGTTTTGGATGTATACTTTTCAAGGAGGTTCATACATGCCAAAGTGATGCATCGAGGAACAAGCAAAGTGGTGTCGGCAGCAAGCACCAATTGCAAGGATTTAAGGTATTCATTGCCATCGCCCACTGATGACAATGCATGTCGGATTATTGGGAACCTAATTGCTGAGAGATGTAAAGAAGCTGATGTATTTGTCATCTCTTACGACCCTCCAAAGAGTGCAAAAATTGAAGGCAAAATTGAGATTGTCATTGATGCCATTAAGGACAATGGTATCTTGTTCGTTTAACCTATCATATCCATCTAATAACAACCACCAATGTCTCAACTTTTCTATTTATATGCCTTCCAAATTAATCCAACTTGGCTTCACTATCGCTCATAACTTGTATTATAGTCCTAGTCTTGTAGTCGGTCTGGAATGCCTTTGTAGTCTTTCTAAGGTCTCTTTAAATTCATCTATTTACCTACTCTCTTAATAACTAAAGTTAAACTTATATCTAATAGATCTCTAAAGTATCATAATAGATAGGTTGATAATCTTATTAAATTCTCTAGACTGGTATCTATTAGATGTACAAGAATTTTGTATCCACAGTTGATAATATTTTTTAAAAAATGTCAAATATATGGAAAAAATCAGTTGGACTAGCTATCATTCAAATTTCCATGCATTTTAAGGTGTAAAAAATTGAAGCTCTTACAGTCTAGCTGTGGATGGATCATTTCTTTTCTCCCCTTGAATTGAGATGAGCATTACAATGAGCTACCGGCGAATCCTTGTCTGTATTATGTGTAAGAAGCTGTCAAAAGTTATATAATGAGGCTGCTTTTAGTTTTAGATGCCAAAAAATGGCTGAAGGCTGTGTAGATGGGGATGGGGATGGGGTGGAGCAATGCATTAAAGGGAAGAGACAATGCTAATAAAAACTCAATAGTAGAGAACCAAGACTTGCCTTTATTATTTAAATCAATGGATAATATCTCAATAAGAATATAGAGACATAGACCTTTTTTTTCCTTTTCTTTTTTCTTTTTTGTAAGATGCAAAGAAACCTGCTACTTACTATTATTACAAATCTTAGTAACAAAGTACGGTAACAATAATAAGAATATATGGTTAACTCCTTGTATAGAATAGAACCTAAACATCCAACTCTGACACAGCCACCAAAATCAATACCTACCAATAGAATAAAAAAAAAACAAAAATTAGAAACATGGAATTGAAGCAACCATGAAGGCTTAAAAATGGGGAAATGCTACTTATGCAGATTTATAAATTGCAATCATATGTCAAATAGATTCTTCCTTAAATAACAATGTTATTAGTCTATCAAGTATGACATTTTTTAAAAATTCACAAATCTACAAAGCGCAAAATTGAAATCCTAGAGCTGCATTAAATAGATGGATTTAACTTTTAAAATTTTCAAATTTGTTAGAGATCTTTTTGACACAAAATTGAAGAACCTGGACAAAATAGAAACAAATCTTATTATCATTTAACCTAAATCTTCTACAGGCCAAGAGTTTTTTTTTTTTTTTTTTTTCAAGAAGGTATCATCCACAAAAGCCGATCTGCAAAGTTTGTGATAAGTCTTACCTTAAAGCAGATATTAATGCAAAACTACTGGGTAGTTGATCTTCAGTTAGCCTGCAACAAGGCAAAGCACAGCAATGTTAGTACCAGTAATAAGGCATTGAATGCCAGAATGTATTACGCATAAGAAGACTGTAGCAAAAAAGAAAACAACAAGGGTGATTCAGGGCCACAAAAGGTCAGAAGGCAACAGTCTTATGCGTAAAGATTCAGGGCCGCAAAAGTTCGACATTAAAATTTTTTGTCTTGGGATGCAATATTCATCTAATTTGTATTACAAAACATTTATTGGAATTTTCCAGTTAAAAAACAAACAGAACTATGAGAAGACACTGGGCTTCCAAAGTGCCCGGCATCTAAATACCAGGCATGAAAAGATGTTGGACATTCAAATTCCCCACAAATAAACAGACCCTCGGTGTGAGTTTGGTTCTCAAGCATGGTTCAGATTTTGGAATTTGGCTACAATCACAACAAACTCTGTTGGCATCTCTTTCTGATGCCAATAAGAAGCAGAACTATATAGGCATCCCAAGCCCTCCAAATTTGATGACTTTTCTCATCAGCCTAACTAACGCTGAGTTCCAGCTTCTCTATTAAGCAATTGCAAGACATGTTAATGAAAAAAAAATATACACATAGCATATCATCAAAACTTACCTTTTCATTTTTTGGAGTAAAAACAACTTTAACCGATTCAAAAACCTCCTCAATAGGCCTCGCAGCATCAATCTAAGAAGAGTAGAACATGATTCAAAATTTAAAATAAAAAAGGACCAAAAAGTACTGACGTTTGAAGAGAAAGAATCAGAACCTTCCGAACTTTTCCTTTGGATTCATAGTACTCAACCACAGGAATGCTCGACTCCAAGAAAACCCTAAACCGCTTCCTAATTGTTTCAATGTTGTCATCCACTCTTCCCTGAATCATATCCATAAAGGAAATTCTTAACGTCAAATTAAAATTTCAAAGAAAAAATGTAAATACAAGAGAAATGAATCCCTTCAAACCTCATTCCTACTCAGCAGGCGCCTCTCCATCTCTTTCTCATGACAATCAAAGAACAGGACAACAGATGGTTCAATGCCTGTCTGCAAAACATCAATGAAATATACTGTTGTGTCAAGTGAAATGGAACTTCTAGCTTGGATTGTACAACAACCTCAACAATGAATTGTATAGAATGGAATTTAATTTTAAAAGAAACATTCTCAGAGAAAAGAGGAAAATGGCTTACAACAGCTTCAAATGCAGCACGATTTTCCTCATTACGAGGGAATCCATCAATGAGAAATTTGTCATTATGACTTTCCTCCATTGCTCGTTGAAGGAGCTTTATTGTGACCTCTGAAGGAACAATCTTCCCTTCTTTAATCATGTTTTGAATCATCGTCCTGAGAAAATCAAATGGTAGGATCAGTAGACAATATGTAATTTGCATTCCTGACATCTAGCACAAATAGGAATTCACAGTAAATTCAGAATTTCCTTCAATTTAAGCAATGAGACCAAAAGCATGGAATTTTTAACATTCAAGTTTGGAAACATATGTACGAGGACATATATCATACCCATTCTCTGAACCAGATTTGATCTCTGCCCGAAGAAGATCACCAGCACTAAGATGAGTATACCCAAAGTTTTCAATGATATTTGAACATTGGGTACCCTTGCCACTACCTGGCCCACCTGGTAATTAAAAAATCCAACTACCACTTAGAACCCAAAACAAAATGTAGCATAAAAAAATAAATGAAAGTTCTTCTCATAAGGAAGGTAGAAAGGAAGCACCTACGAATGAATTTAATCTTTGAAAAGTATACTTACCCAAAACAAAGACAACTGTAGGCTTCTTCTTCTCAGCTAAGCTTTCATTAGTTGCCTGCAATTTCATTTGAACCATGTAGATCAGAACAAACTTTTCTGAAATTTCAGGTCAAATAGTTCATCCAAGAAGGAAGCAAAGACAACCATCCCCACATAACTTCAGAAAAATCATAAAATGGAAATTCTGAGTAGTTCAATTGGCATAAATTTTCTCAATATAGGAAGTAAAAACGTAGTCAAATTATACCTTGATTGGAGCAGCATCAACGACAGTCCCCATCACACTGATTTAAAAATGAAGTGACTAACTACATGAAGCCAGATAAAAGTATGTCAAAACCAGGTTTCAGCACTAAAGCAAGGAGGAGAGACAGGCAAGATAAACATGGAAGAACATTAGGCTGAAAGCATAACATGCTAAAACTTAAGTGATACATGCAATCAAATCTTCTTAGTCTATTTATCCTCTAAATTCTCGAACATAGAGGAGAAGAGGAGAAAAAAAACAAAAAACTTAAGTCTTCAAAACATTAATATAAATATTAGCTTTCATCGATTTTTTGCAGATCCGACATGCCTGGCCTTAGTAATTTATTTCAACAAAGAAAACACCACGAAAAACATAAGCTCAGCATTTAGGATCCAGAAATAAAAACATGCACAACTGTTAAACATTCGTAACACAAATAGTACAGCCAATAAGCATCATTTAGAGAACAAACAGACGAAAGAACATGCAAGCCATAAGTAAAGACTTCCGAGTTCATTCTCAATTTTTCCATTCTTGGCCTACCAGAAAAGTGGCGGTAAATAAATTCAAAGACAGATCTAAGAGAATGGAAAAAAAAAAAAAAAACTAACTAATTTAAAACCACACAGCACAAGAAAAGCCTCAAAAGCTAAGATTTCTCGATTCTCCACAAGATTTCGCAAGACCAGAAGAAAAACACGGCTGGATCCAAACGGTAGCAGCAAAACCAAGCAAATCAACAAAGAAACGCAACAAAATTCAAGCGGAAACAGAAGACAATGCAGAGATCAAACAACAAGTAACGCAATTAACAGAGATATAAGGCGAAAAAAAAGAGAGCAAGATTCTGATTCTTACAGTTGAAAACGGAGCGCGCCAAAGATCGAGAGAGAGAGAGAGAGAGAGATCTGAAGAAGAGGAGGGAAAACGCGGAAACAAAAGGAGGACGAGTGGGTGGTTAAATAGAGAAGGGATTGACCGTAAGAATTGGCACGTAAATTTTGCCTCAGAATGAGCGTTACGGTCGGTGGAGGGTATTCATGTCATTTCACAGTCTTGTTATATTATTATTTATTTCTTTTTTAAGGGTCGCGTAATTGCAACGGCTATGGTTTTCATTTATTTTCTTCGTTGGTTCTTCTTTGAGTAAATTGTAAGGGGCGATTGGATCGCATTTAAATATAGTTTTGACAATGCGGAAATTAATTGTTAAAATAAATGTAAATTTAATTATAAATTTTATTCCGTTTTTAATTTAATATCAACTGCAAACCTTTTTTTTAGTTGGACCAGCTCAACATTTTTTTTTATTTTAAAATATTGAATATTGAATGGTCGACCTTACTAAAGAAATGAATTGAGTGTGTTCAGGAAAATCCCCGCGATGACAAGTTATGCCTATTTACAGTAAAAGATCGAGAGCTTCTTGTAATGACCCATATCCACCGCTAACAGATATTGTTCTCTTTGGGCTTTCCCTTTCGGGTTTCCCTGCATCTGCTAGGGGTTGTCCTCTTTGGGCTTTCCCTTTTGGGTTTCCCCTCAACGCTTTAGAATGCATCTGCTAGGGGAAATCTCGTCTGCTAGGGGAAGGTTTCCACACCCTTA